TTACTCAGTTTTTTCAGTTTATCGTTTCTTCAATTTCTCGGTTTCTCGAATTTTTGATTGAGTTTTTGGCATTTCTAAATTTTCGGTAGTTCCATTTCTCAATTTTTCGATTAATCGATTTTGTGATTATTTACTTTTTGATTCTCGGTTTTTCGACTTCACGATTCCTCGATTCTTCGATTTCTCAAGTTTTTGAAGTTTCAGTTTTGGGATTTTTCAATGTTTGGATTTTTCGATTTTTTTTAATTTTGAATTTTCAATTTTTCAACTTCTCGATTTTAAATTTTTCAATTATTGTACTCCCAGTTTAAAGTGGTTTTTATGACAAGATAAACATCAACTTCGACACAATGGACCTATCATAAAAACCACTTTAAACTGGGAAGACAATACTGAATTTTTCGATATTTCAGTGTTGGGATTTTTCAATTTTAGTTAGTTTTTCGTTTTTTTAATTTTTGGAATTTTTAAATTATAAATTTTTTACTTTTTTGATGCTTCGATCTCTCAATATTTGTATTTTTCAGCTTCCCACCTTAGGACGTTTTGGTCTTTTAATTTTTCGATTCATCGGTTTTTTTAAGTTAAATGAATTTTGAATTTTTAAATTTTGAGTATTTCGATTTTTCTACTTTTGATTTCCCGATTTTTTGACGTTTCGATTTCTTAATGTCTCAATTTTTCAGTTTAGTTTTCTCGATTTATCGGTTTTACGATTTGTCGATCTTACAATTTTTGATTTGATGTTTTGATTTCTCGATACCCAATTCTTCGATTTTCAATTTTTCGTAAACTCAATTTTTCAATATTTCAATATTCAGATTTTCAGATTTTGATATTTCTATTTCTCGATTTTGAGATTTTTACTTTTTAACGCTTCGATTTTCGAATCCCTCGGTTTTTCGACTTTTCGTTTTTGGATCTTTCTGTTTATAAATTTTTCTATATTCAGTTTTTCGATTTATCGCTTTTTTAAAGCTTAAATATTTCAATTTTGGGCTATTTCGATTTTTAAATTTTTCAATTTTTCGATTTCTCGATCTGTGGAAGTTTCGATCTCTGGATGTTTCAACTGTTCAATTTTAATTTCTCGATATCTCGGTTTTCCGACTTTTCGACTTTGACTTTTTAATTTTTCCGTTTTTTGATGTTTTGATTTCTCGATGTTTCAATTTTTTGATTCTTCATTCAATTCTTTGATATTTTAATTTTTGGAATTTTTTAATTCTAGACTTTTTACTTTTTTGATGTTTCGATTTCTCGGGTTCTCCTTTTGCGATTTTTCAATCTTTGAATTTTTGGATGTTTAAATGTTTTGATTTTTTGGTTTTCCAATTTTCGATTTCTCGGTTTATTGAGATTTCAATGTTTCGATTCTTCAGTTTTTTGTTTTTTAAGTTTAAATATTCCAATTTTTAATTTTTCGATTTTTAGGAATTTTCCATTTTCAATTTTTCGATGTTCAATTTTTCGATTTCAGTGTCTAAATTTTCAGTTTTAGATTTTCCGATTTTTGGTTTTTCTTTCTGTTCTTCGAATGTTTAAATTCCATATTCTTCACTTTTTTGATTTTTCGATTTCAAAATATCTCGCATTTTCGATTTCCCGTTTTTAGATTTTTTTTCGGTATTTCAGTGTTCAAAATTTCAATTTTAGTAATTTCGATTTCTTAGTTCTTCAATTTTTTAATATTTGGAATTTTTGAATTATAAATTATTAACTTTTGTGATGTTTCGTTTTCTCGATATTTCGAATTTTCGACTTCTCGTTATAAGATTTTTCGTTTTTTTTTTAAGTTAAATGAATTTTCAATTTTTCGATTTTGGATCATTTCGATATTTCTACTTCTAATTTCCCGATTTTTTGATGTTTCGATTTCCTAATGCCTCAATTTTTCAGTTTAGTTTTCTCGATTTATCGGTTTTACGATTTTTCGATTTGATGTTTTGATTTCTCGATTCCCAATTCTTCGATTTTCTTTTTTTCGTAAACTCAATTTTTCAATACTTATTTCAATATTCAGATTTTCAGTTTTTGATATTTCTATTTCTCGATTTCTCGAATTTTTAAATTTTGAGATTTTTACTTTTTCATGCTTCGATTTCCGAATCCCTCGGTTTTTCGACTTTTCGTTTTTGGATCTTTCTGGTTTGAATTTTTAGATTTCAGTTTTTCGATTTATCGTTTTTTTAAAGTTTAAATATTTCAATTTTGGGCTATTTCGATTTTTAAATTTTTCAATTTTTCGATCTTTGGATGTTTCAACTTTTCGATTTTAATTTCTCGGTATCTCGGTTTTTCGACTTTTCGACTTTTATGATTTTTTAATTTTTCCATTTTTTGATGTTTTGATTTCTCGTTGTTTTAGTTTTTCGATTCTTCATTCAATTCTTCCATATTTTAATTTTTGGAATTTTTAAATTTTAGATTTTTCACTTTTTTGATGTTTCGATTTTTCGGTATTTTGATTTTACGACTTCTACTTTTAGGATGTTTCAATCTTTGAATTTTCGGATTTTAAAAATTTTTGATTTGTGATTTTTCAATTTTCGATTTCTCGGTTTGTTGAGATTTCAATGTTTCGATTCTCCAGTTTTTTGTTTTTTGGGTCTTTAAGTTTAAATGTTTCAATTTTGAATTTTTCGATTTTGGGGGTATTTCAATCTTTTACGATTTTTCCAGTTTCAATTTTTCGATTTCACTGTCTAGATTTTTCAGTTTTATATTTTCTGATTTTTGGTTGTTCTTTTCAGTTCTTCGAAGCTTTAAATTCCAGATTCTTCCCTTTTTTGATCTTTCGATTTTTGAGTCTCTCGCTTTTTCGATTTTCCTTTTTTAGATTTTCAATATTTCGATTTTTCAGCTTTTTTAAATTTAGATTTTTCAATTTTTCCGTTTCTCGATTTAAATTTTTCGCTATTTCAGTGTTCAAAATTTGAATTTTAGTAATTTCGATTTTTCAGTTCTTCGATTTTTTAATATATAGAATTTTTAAATTTTAAATTATTCACTTTTGTGATGTGTCGATTGCTCGATATTTCGATTTTTCGACTTCTTGTTCTTGAATTTTTCGGTTTTTCAATGTTTCGATTTTTAAAAATTTTGTTTTTCCATTTTTTCGATTTCGAGATTTCGGTGTTTTTTCAAGTATTTTCATGTTTCAATTTCAGATTCTCCACTTTTTTATTCTTTCGATTTCTGAATCTCTCGATTTTTCGATTTTCGATTTCTCGATGTTTCAATTTTTCGATTCTTCAGTTGTTCGATATTTTAATTTTTCAATTTTCGGTATTCAGTTTTTTGACATTTCAGCGTTGAGATTTTTCAGTTTTAGATATTTCGAATGTTTGATTTTTCGGTTCTTCGATTTTTCAATTTTTCAAAATTTTTTTTCTTCTCACTTTTAGATTTTTTGATTTATCAGTTCTCTTAGTTAAAGGGTCAATTTATGGAATATGTTAATTGAGGTTAGGTTAATGCGTGATTAACTTAACCTCAATTAGTATAATGAGGCGTTTAGCGACGTCTGATTGGCGAAGAGTCGGTCACGTGATACTTTAATGTTGTATTAAAACCTTCTAAACCGACTCTCGATGTTTCAATTTTGATTTTTTCGATTTTTGTCTGTCGCAATTTTTCGACTTTTCGATTTCTTGAATTTTTGATGTTTCAATTTAGCGATGTTTCAACATTTCAATTTCGATTTCTCGGTTGCACGATTTTGCGACTTTTCGATGTTCTGTATTATTTTGGAATTTTTCGATTCACCAATTTTTCGATATTTCAGTTTTGGGATTTTTCAATTTTGGGAACTTTTCTGTTTCTGGATTTTTCAATTTTTCATTTTTCGATTTTTTAAATTTTGGAGATTTGGATTTTGTGATGTTTTGCTCGATCTTTCGATTTTTGAGTTCTTCGATATTTTAATTTTTCGTTTTTTTAAATTTTAGATTTTTCACCTTTGTGATGATTTGATTTCTCGATATTCTAATTTTTCAGTTTTTCAATTTACCGAGATTTCGATGTTTCGATTGCTCGATTTTGATGTTTCAGTTCTTAAATTTCGATTTCTCGATTGCTCGGTTTTACAGTTTTTCGAGTTTTTCGATTTTTCAGTGTTTCGATTCTTCAATTTTTCGATTTTTTAAATTTTAGATCTTTTTCGATTTTTCCATTTTTCTATTTTACGATTATTTGATGTTTCGATTTCCCGATTTTAATTTTTTTAGTATGTATTTATTTAAATTTTTCGATTTTTCCAATTTTCGGTTTCTCAACATCTCGGTTTTTCAATTTTTAAAATTTGTCAAATTTTCGTTTTTTCGATTTCTCGATTTTCCAAGTTTACAATTTCTCAGTTTAACATTTTTTATTTTGAAAATTTTTTAATTTCGGGATTTTTAAATTTTTCGATAATTTCATTTTTCGATTTTTTAAATTTTAAATTTTTTTTGATATTTTGATTGCTCGATTTTTGATTTTTCGGTGTTTTAATTCTTAAAATTTTACAGAACAGTTAACAAAAAAATTGATAATTTTTTAAAGAAACGACATTTTTTTGTTGCACATCACGAAGTCTTATCACAATAACTTTGGACCATTTTTTTAATTTCTCATTTTACTTTAGAACCGTCCACCTCACGCACCTTAATTACTGTTAATAATAAATGACGAATTCAGCGCGACTCTTGCTTTTTGCTGCAGCCGTAAGCGTGATAAGAGCGAACGCGACACGCTTCCTGGTACACTTGATGGATGGCACAAGTTCGTAAATGGGGCCCGCTTTTCTATATCAGCTGCTAGTTAAGTGCGAAATCTGTCAGAATTGCTCCGATTATGATTGATTCTCGGCGCGTCGTGATGAATGTTTGCTAATAAGATAGTTCAGACGAAATTACCTACGCTAAGCGCTCGTTTTGTTCGTTGATCCGACTGGTACAGAACCCACTCAGAGACACCCCAACTCTAAGCGCGATCTAACAACAAACTCCTCCATCCAGGTCGAGCAGCGCCCCATGGACTCTCCTGCCGCAATGAGCGTAGCCCGACGGACCTACGTTGTGCATCCGCCGCACGTGTGGTCGCTCGAAACCTAAACCATGAAGCCGATAACGTTCGAAAACCTGCGGCGGCTGGTGGGCGGCGGTCGGAAAAAGAAGGAGAAGGAATCGTCGTTCAAGCGGAGCGACTCCTTCAAGAGGATATCCATCCGGAAGAGCTACCTCGACCGCGGGAAGAAGAAGCACATCTCGAAACTCGAGGTGGCGACGCAGACCGTCGCCGAGGAGGACTTCTTGAAGATCATCGAGACCACGACGAAGGTGGATTCGTGCGTGCAGGTCGACAAGTCGGAGTTGGGGACGTACGAGAGCGCCAAAGGCGCCAAAGGGAAAAAGGGCGACCGCAGCGGGCCCGGACAGAGTGTGATCGCGTACGGTCAGTGGTTGAACGGCATCCGCAAGGATGAACCGGTTTCCGGGATCAAGGGCTCCGAGAGGACCGTCATTTACGTGCCCGCGTCGGACGAGGTCCGCCCGAGTTCGCCCGTCATTCGCCAGCTCTCCTGTTCCCCGGTTTTCAGGAAGAGCAAACAGAGCCCGGGTTTGCAGAGGAAGGAAAGTAATGACTCTGCGGTGGAAATGTTCCCGTGGGGAGACTCATCCGATGTGAAAAAATCCCCGCTGCTGCGAAGAAAATCGCGCTTGAGTCCCGCCCCTCTGATGCCGGATTCGGGAACGGAGGAGATGTGTTCGTTGTCGATAAGTTTGGGACGGATTTGGATGGACGCCCCGCAGGGGATGGCGCCGAGGAGCCTGGAGATGCCGAAGCCGTCAGGATCAGCGGCCCCGGCCCATCACTCTTTAGACAGTGCTTTAAAAGACTTGAGGGACGACCCGATCGTGATAAATCGCCTCCAGAAACGACCAACGCCTCCCGTCGCCAGGACTCTCTCCTCCACGAGTAACACCACAGTGTCCACCGGCTTGTTCTCAAGCAAGGACTCCGGGTTTTCCTTCTCCACGACCGCCCCCAAGCTCAGCAATTTCCACGTTCCTTCCTCTAGAGGCTTCTTCCGGAAGAAGAAGCCCAAACCCAAGTTGTCCGTCAGCCGCGACGGCTACTTCAAGCGCACCAGCGGCCCTCTAGTCGAGACCAAGCGCAGCTCCGTCCGACGCCGCAGCAGCCGCAAGAAGAAGTCCAAATCCAAGGGGAAAAAATCCCGCAACTCCCCCCGCAACGACCTCTACCAAGTGGTCGTCAGCCGGCCCCCACGCTCGTTACGCTCCTTGAAGCTAGACCCGATGATATTCGTTCCGCCCGAAAAACGAAAAACTTCCGTGACCCGGAAGCAGTCATTTAAGGTCGGAATGCGTGAAATAAGGAATTTCAACCCTCTAGACAGTTCGATGTATTCGAGCAGGAGTGTAAACGAGAGCGCGGATGAGGGTCTATACGAGAGCCTCCCCGGAGAATACGACGATCTCTCCGACGAACAGCCCCTCAGCGGACGCATATCACGCATCAGCCTACGGGAGGAGGACTACGATCTGCCCTCTAATGATTTCGCGAGCGCCACTCCGGTTTCGGAGGAGTCGATCGGCTCGGGGGCGCTCAGCGACGACGACGGGAACGACAGGAGCTCGTCGTCGAAATGCGGCAGCCCGTACGTGGTGCCGGGGGTGTCGCCGGTGCCGAGGAGGCGGCCGGTGAGGCGGAAGAAGTCGGGGCTGTCGCACAAGAGGAGCATCACGTACGTGGTCAAACCGAACATCAAGCGCGCGCCGTCGACGCTGAGGAGGCCGGCGAAGAAGTTAGGTGAGTAGGGGGCGGCAAAGTCTATTAACTAAACTACCGGAGCGATTGTTGTCAAATTTTGGATGTATGTAGATTGTTGATGGTAAAACACTAACCGAAATTTGTCTGCTAATCCCCAGCAACAATGGAATAACGTCATCCTTAAATTTTACAATAGGAAAAGTTATTTAAACGTAGTCCTCCACTTGTGGTTTATAAATGCTTTTGAAACTACTAAATCAAAATTTTTTTCGAATTTGTTAATTGAATGTTAAAAAGCAGCGTAATCTTGAACTTATGGTTTATAACTCCGTGTTGAGTCTTTATTCTAGACATAGAGATTTTTGGAAAACATTCCAAATTGTAGATACGAAAATTTTTCGATTTTTCGGCTTTTCGATTCCTGGATTTTTCGATGTTAGTTTTCCAGTTTTTGTATTCTTCAATGTTTCGATTTTTCAATTTCTCGATTTTTCATTTTTCAATTTCGCGATTTTCAGTTTTTCGATGTTTTCACTGGGATTTTTCAGTTTTTAATATCCCAATTTCACGATTAATCGATTTTTTGATTTTCTAATTTTTAGATTTCTCGATTTTCTATTGTTTCGATTTTTCAGTTTTTCAATTCTTCAATTTTTCGATTTTTTGACTTCGATTTCAATCAATAATTTAGTGGTGTTAGAAACTTACAAATCCAGATTTACACAAGTTAAAAACAGCAAATCAAATAAATTAGAATTTCTACAGCCAAGATAATCCTCAAAACTATAAAAACAATTCACAAGAAAAGTTTAGAGGTTTTTTTTTTTAATGTAACATCAATAGGCTCATTACTAAACCCTTCGGGTTACACATAAAAAAATGTCTCGATTTTTAAATTTTTCGAGGTTTCAGTTTTGGGATTATTCAGTTTTTTTTAGATTCTTCAATGTCTTTTCCACTTTTCAATTTTTTTATGCCAGTTTTTGGGATTTTTCGATATTTCCATTCTTCAATTTTTCGATTTCCCTATTTTTTACTATTTAGATTTTTAAATTTTAGATCAGTTATTTGATTTTTTGATGTTTCGATTTCTCGACTTTTCAATTTATTGAATTTTTGGGTTTTCGATTTTTGAGGTTTTGATCTCTCGATGTTTCGTTTTTCGACTTCTCGGTTTTAGATCTTTTGATTTTTTAATTTTCCGATTTATCGGTTTTTCTTTAGTTTTAAATTTTTAACTTTCCGATTTTCCGTTTTTAGCTTATTTCGTTTTCTCAGTCGATTTTCCAATTTTTCGATGTTTCGGTTTTTCAATTATTTAATTTTCGAATATTTCGTCATTTCAGTTTTACAATCGATTCTTTAGTTTTTTATTTTTTTTCAGTTTTTCAGTTCTTCAGTTTTTCGATTTTCAGGTTCTTGATTTTTTAATTTTTAGATTTTTTAATTCTTCTATTTTTAGACTTTGATTTCTTGATGTTTCAATTTTTGGACTTCTCAATGTTTCGATGTTTCAGTTTTAGAATTTTTCAATAATTCGATTCTTCAATTTTTCGATATTGCCATTTCTCGATTTTTCAATTTTTCTAAATCTTAATTTTTCAATTTATAAAGTTGTGCATTTTTCGTTTTCGCAATTTTTCGCTTTTTCAGTTCTTTGATAATTCTATGTTTGAGGTTTTCGAATTTTTATGTTTTGAATTTAGATTTATAGATATATTTTCCGGTTTTCTGATCTTTCCATTTCCCGAGTTTTCGATTTTTGAGTCGTTTGATTTTTATTTTCCAGGTTTTCGCATTTTTAAATTTTTCAGTTTTTTTATGCTTCGATTTTTCGACTTTTCGGTTTTAGATTTTTCATCACTCCAGTTTCGGATTTTCGATTCTTCAATTTCTGATTTTTCAATTTTTCGATTTATCGATTATTTTTAAATGTTAAATTTCTCGGATTTTAACTTTCCAATTTTTCGTTTTTGACTTATTTCGTGTTCTCAATTGATTTTTCAATTTTTCGATATTACGATTTTTCAATTCTTTAATTTTTCATGTTTTCGTTTCTCAATTTTCCGATTTTTCGAGTTTTCAATTTTCCAATTTTTCATCAGTTTCGGAATTTTCCAATGTCTCGATTTTACGGATTTTCGATTCATCTATTTTTCGATTTTTCAGTTATTTGATATTTCTATTTAATGTTTCGAATTTTTAAATTTTCGATTTTCAGTGTTTTGATGTTTCAATTTTTTGACTTTTCGGTTTTAGATTTTTCGACTTTGTGGTTTTAGATTTTTCTCGATTAGTCGATTTTTTGTTTGTTATATTCCTCGACTTTTGAATGTTTCAATTTTTCGGTGTTTCAGTACTTCAGTTTTTCGATTTTCAGGTTTTTGATTTTTTAGTTTTTTTTAAACTTCGGTTTTTCGACGACTTCGATTTCGTGATATTTCGATTTTTCGACTTTTTTCTTTCTCGTTTTTACGTTTTCGATTTAAAAATTTTAAATTTATCAACTTTTCTAAATCTTAGCTTTTCAATTTTTAAAATTGTGGATTTTTTGTTTTCTCGATTTTTCGCTTTTTCAGTCGTGATACTTTTTTTTCAATTTTTAGAATTTGTAAATTTTGAATTTTATTTTGACCAATTTTTTGATTTTTTGGTATCTCCATTTGTCGAGTTTTCAATTTTTCGAAGTCTTAATTTGTAAATTTTCAAACATTGGATTTTTTGATGTCGATTTTTCGGTTTTAGAGTTTTTTGATGTTCCTATTTTTCAGTTTTTCAAATTTTTTAATATTCAGGCCTTCAATTTTTCGCTGTTTCCATTTCTCGATTTTTCAATTTTTCTAAATCTTAATTTTTCAATTTTGAAAATTGTGCATTTTTCGTTTTCGCAATTTTTCGCTTTTTCAGTTCTTTGATAATTCTATTTTTGAATTTTTCGAATTTTTATATTTTGAAATTAGATTTATAGATATATTTTTCGTTCTTCTGATCTTTCCATTTCCCGAGTTTTCAATTTTTTGAAATCTTAATTTGTCAATTTTCAAAAAATGTAAATTTTTTCGGCTTCTCGGTTTTAGATTTTTCAAGTTTTCAATTTTCCAATTTTTCATCAGTTTCGGAATTTTCCAATGTCTCGATTTTACGGATTTTCGATTCTTCAATTTCTGATTTTTAAATTTTTCGATTTATCGATTATTTTTAAATGTTAAATTTCTCGATTTTTAATTATCTGATTTTTCGTTTTTGACTTATTTCATTTTCTCAATTGGTTTTCCAATTTTTCGATGTTACGATTCTTTAATTTTTCATGTTTTCGTTTCTTCAATTTTCCGATTTTTCGAGTTTTAAATTCTGGATTTCCAATTTTTCGATTTTTCAGTTATTTGATATTTCTATTCAATGTTTCGAATTTTTAAATTTTCGATTTTTAATGCCTTGGTGTCTCGATTTTTTGACTTTTCGGTTTTAGATTTTCCGACTTTGTGGTTTTATAGATTTTTTTCAATTAATCGAATTTTTGTTTATCCCATTCCTCGACTTTTTTCAATGTTTCAACTTTTCAGTTCTTCAGTTTTTCGATTTTCAGCTTTTTGGTTTTTTAATTTTAATTTTTTTTAAATGTTCGCTTTTTCGACGACTTCGATTTCTTGATATTTCAATTTTATCGATTTCTCAATTTTTCAGTGTATCAATTTTGGGATTTTTCAATAGGGACATATTTCGATTTTTTACTTTTTGGTTACACGATATTTACGTTTTCGATGTTAAAATTTTAGATTTATCAACTTTTCTAAATCTTAGTTTTTCGAATTTTTAAATTTTGAATTTTAGATTTACCAATTTTTTAATTTTTTGGTGTTTCCATTTTTCGAGTTTTCAATTTTCGAAATCTTAATTTGTCAATTTTCAAACAGTGTGGATTTTTCGATTTGTCGATTTTTCGGTTTTCGAGTTTTTGGATATTCCTATTTTTGAGTTTTTCGAATTTTTTTAATTTTCAATTTTTCAGTTTTTGGATGTTTCGTTTTCTGGAAGTTTCCATTTTTCGACTTCTAGATTTGTCGATTTTCCAATTTTCACTCAGTTTCGGAATTTTCCAATTTTTCAATATTTCGGATTTTGATTCTTAAATTGTAGATATTTTAATGTTTCCATTTTTCAATTTTTCGATTTTTAAATATTCAATTTTTTTAAATTTAAATTCTGATTTTTCGATTTGTTGATTTTGCAGTTATTCGATACTTCAATTTTCCGACTTTTTAAAATCTTACGTCTTTCGATTTTACGATTGATTGATGTTCCGTTTTCGTGATCGCTTTTTCGGTTTTTTTAATTTTTCGAATTTTCCATTTTTCGATTTTTCGAATTTTCCATTTTTCGATTTTTCGATTTGTTTTTATTTTGATTGTTCAATTTTTCGGTTAATCAAATTTCCAATTTTCCAGGGTAAGTTTTGTCGAAATAACCTTCGACCAATTTTTCTACAAACAATACTCAGCTCTTCATTTTGAAAATCTGAAACGGAAAGATCCCTCACGTTTTTGTCCCCAATCATCCCCTGCAAATATTTGCAAAATAAAAACCAAACAACGACGCGCCGCGAACAAAACCTTTGATTAAACTCCTCCCGTTTAATCGTTCGTCAATACAAAGTCGAGGATTTGCAGTTATTTTATTTTCGTTATCCCTTTAGTCTAAACCGGAGCGAAAAGCAATCTCGCGACCTGCGCCAACTCGGCAGTAAGAAACTAAAAGACCCAATAAATAATTCCCGTTCCGCGGATCACAAAATCTAGCGCTGATCCTTTTACTCCTTATCTCGTGAAGTCGGTGTCGTTCAAAGGACGTCGGTACAGTTCCCACGCCCCGGCTTTGTTTGAATGAAACGCTCCAGCGAAAGTTTTCCATAAAATATAAAACCGCAATCTCTAGGCCATAGGATATCCGAATAAGTTGCACGTACAATATGAAGACTTAAATCGTAGTTTTTATGTCCGGAAGTTTCCGGGCCGAATTTCGCAAAAATACGCAATCGTGCA